AAAGTGAATTTGAAAGTCTAATTTAATTTTACAAAATTGATTTTTAATTTGAGACTTGCACCCACTTATATGCTATATTTTGATTTTTTCTTTAGTTAATGTGAGATCTCCAATACTACATCACGCAAAATTGTTTACAGTAAAAAAAAGATAGGATTACAATTTCATCATCGCTGTTTTGTTTATAATTCTCACTTTTTCCTTGAATTGCTAGTACATTCTACAATTAAAATCTGGATGTGTACACAAAGGAAATTTTTTTAATGCATTTCACATGGGATAAAATTTAACATATATTTTGGTCTTGCTTAATGTGTGATTAGTCACAGTATAATAATGTTGTTGGTATGGATTTTCATTGATTCATGTGTTTGTTAGGACCTTTAATGGGGATATGGTAATTGGTCTGACTGCAGACCAGCGAGCATAAGCCCATGGTATGGATAGTCTACCTGCAAGAAAAAATGTTGCAGGGAAAGAATGATTGGGTGGCAGAGAGAGAAAGGAGTAAGAGGAGTTTTGTTGTATGGGGATCGTTCAGGGAGAGTGGGTAGGAGGGTTATTTTCAGTTAGGGTCAGAGAAATTTCTATTCACTAAAATAATTTAGCTCTGGACAGTGGGCATGTTCATTCCTCTGCATTTTTCTTCTATACCAAAAGTAATACATTGCTTATTTGCCATTGTTGATCCGTTTTCCATGTTTTTTATTATTCTTGTTTGCATCCATGTTGTAATGAAGCATTTCCAAAACAAATTTTTTTTATGAATTTGTAGGTTTTATCTATTTCCCTATCAAAATACATTGGGTTAACATAATTGGTACGCTCAATGATGCTGAGGTGGTAAGATAGGATTGGCTAAAATGCAACTAATTGTGACCAATTTTTTCTCCTTTCTGTTTGCATGACATACTTCTTGGAATCAAGTTGGTGCAATATGACTCATTCCTAAGTTAGCAACTAACTGAATGCTTGACAAACGAACTAATAGATGAAATATAAAGGATATTACAATAAAATGAAAATGTAATGCAAACTCAAATGGGCATATTAACATAAAGTAAGTTTTCATATATGATATAATTTATCATATATTTTAAGTTAAAATGTTATTTGCTAAGGCTTGCACTCCGAATATGATATAATTTATGATTATTAACTTCTGTTGCCATCTTTACTGTTTCTTTTTTCTATGTATATTTGATCTCTAATAGAGTAAGTTGGACTCTAATTTCTTTTGCAGCATTTGGTTGAAAAGTTGAAGGAAAAATGCTCCAAGAAGAGAGATGAAATTGCAAGAATGTTGGAAAAGACATCACAAGTTAAGCAAATTAAGGAAAATTTAAACCAATCTGTGTCTATGGTATGTCAGAAGTGGGTGGTCTTACTCCCAATTCCTCTTTTGCCAATTGCTTTGAACAATATGTGGGTGAAATTTCATACTGCATTAATCCTTATTCAGCTATATGCTTGTTATTTTACTTGAATTATGTGATATGAAAGTTTCATAGTGCAATACTCCTTTATTCAGCTATGTGCTTGTCATTTTACTTGAACTAGGTGATCTGGAAGACTTCCCCTTTTCCAACATGTTACGTTCTTTTTTTTTTCTGATGTAGTGATATCAGCTTCTTCCTGCCAGGAAATAGTAACACTTAAACAAGGAAATATGCTTGTTTATTGTTGAATACTGAATATGCTTCCTTATTGCTGAAAGAAACACTAGAATCACCCTAGAACAAAGGTATATGAGTATACCCCCAAAGGAGCTCCCCTCCTGCTTTTTACTTGTAAAAGGATCTACCTATATGAATTATGGTAAGACGGATAACAGAACAATAACAGAACCAACTAACATGTTACAACTTTGCCACTTTGCTTTTCCGGTGATGAACCTGCAGACCCTTTCCACTGATAGATAACTTGTGTTCTGTCCTAATAGTATGACTATTTTTTATGCATCAATCATTTTCATTCTTTATATTTTTATTAATCTTTCTTCATATTTTATCTTTTTCAAATTCATCTTTCTCCTTGAAGACAAGAAAGACGCATTTTAACTCAAGGGAGACTGTAGATGATTATTTTATATTTCAATAATTATCTTGCTTTTAATTTTTATTACTCATACTTCATATTCTGCCTGTTGCAAATGCATCTTCCTCCATTAAGGCAAAAAAAGAGGCATTTGGACTTGAGCGAGACTGCAAAAGCAAAACTAGCAACATACAGAAGATGGTACGACAACTTAAAATGCTTGAACAACAAGTACAGGATATTCACGAGCAGCATGCAAAAAATACTCAGGTTTTCCAAGTCCCTTGCTATGGATATTCTATATCTATGTTAATACTTAACTTTGCTTTCCTTGGGGTGTTTTTTCTTAGTTTTTCAATTTAAATTTGTTAAAGTGTCACCTAATTGCTCTTTTTCAGTGAAACACTTCGCTTTGTTCATTGGTTCCTTGAATTCTTTTTGACTGCTTTTTATTTAAATTTGAATATTGTACAAAGTTGTCGATGTTGTGGCAGTTGTCACTTCTGACCTGCTTGAATTGCTACTTCTTTAGGATGTCTTCATGGGATCCTCACCTTAGTACCTCGTAAGCCAGTTTTGGAGTTTGAGTTTAGGCTCTAAGCCCAAATTGTAAGATGATATTAGAGTCTATTGTATGTCTATTGTTTGGTCACCTGCATTGCCATGTTCTTGTCCCATAGCCCTAGGTGTGAGAGTGTGTTGGAAAGTTGCTTTAGTCTTGCTCACCCTTAGCCTGCCTTAATTGTGGCTCCTGTGTGCTTTCTTCTTTGTAGGCGGAGGGGTTGGATAGGGGGAAAATCTGTGGTGTTTTTTGGTTGGCACTTTGTTATGGCTTATATATTTAATTATTGATTATTGACCCATGTCATATTCAATTTCAACTACCTACTTGTTAGTTGTTACTGTTTCACTTGCTTCTTTCTTTTTGGTATCATTTTCTTTAATGTTTGTCACTTTTCCTTTTGATTGTACCCTGGTTTTAACTTCTGGTCTTCTTCATGAATTTGAATGGTTCGCATCTGATAACAATGCTATTTTTCTTATAAATAAGCTTCAGTTCCTATTATTTTTCATAATAATGTAGGCTGAAGAATCTAACGTGGAGGAGAAACTGAAGGTGCTTAAAGATGAGGTTCATGCAGCTGAGTTAACCCTGAAGAGGTTGTGGTTTTACTTTTGTGGTTTCTCATATTTGTGTTTTACTTGGGATTTAAAGTTCTTGTTCTTAAGTATCCTTTGTCATTTCAGATTGAAAGAAGAAGATGCTTCTTTAATGGAGAGTATACGTAGGCAAAATGACGAAATCCAAAAGATAGCTGATAAGGTGTGCCTTTTGCTAATGCTTTTAAATTGTGATGGAATTCTTATTCTCTCTTTGGTTTCTTGTAAACAAATTTTCTTTTATGGTTTTTTATTTTCTAATTTCAATTAAATTTTCAGAATTTTCACATGTTCTTTTCATTTTTTTTATCACTAAACTCTCTGTAATTTGTGCCTCTTAATGACCTTTTTTTGGATGGGGAGGGGATATATCTTTTTAAATCTTTCTTAGGAAGCTGATAAAATGGTTACCGTTTCCGTATTACATGATGATGTTAAAGAGTACCTGATGCAGATTTTTTTTTTGAGGCTCTTCTGTTCTTTGAAACTTGTTTATTACAACATTAACTATATCAGTGTAATTCATTGCTTTTAACAGATTCATGATCATGAAAAAAATCACCATGGTACCATGCGCCGAATCCGTGATCTTCAACAACATCAAAGCAATAAGGTATAACTAATATTGTACTTCTTTATCAAGATCAAAATATTGCTTTTATTTTTCTTTTTTATGTATTTTGTTCATTTCCACAAAATCTAATAGACAATAAATTTTCATAAAATTCCTTGCTTTAATGTTGCTAAGAACTGTTTTTCATGACTATGACTATCTTTTTGGAAGCAGATTACTGTTTTCGGAGGAGCCAAAGTAATCAATTTGTTACAAATAATTGAGAGATACCACCGAAGGTTTAAAATGCCTCCAATTGGTCCAATTGGTGCCCATCTGGTATTATAATTTGTAATCCCTTTATCATGTATTGCATATTACTCTCTTGGCTTATGCAGAGTTTTTTGGTTCAAGTGAAATGAAGTGTCTTTCTTTGGTTAGCTGTTGTCTTCTTCTCAGTGGAATAAATAAGTGAATACAGTGATGGAATATCTATACTATTATATATAAAGGGAATTCACTGCTTTGGTGTACACATTTTGTTTTCGAATTTATCCTTTGATAAATAATTTTTTTAAAAATTAAAATAATTATCTTACCAATTTAGTAATGGTTTTTTAAATTTAACTATTTTTTTTAATTTGACCATTTTTTAAAACAAAATAATTATTTATAATAAAAAATTACTCACAAGATAAATATAAACAATTTATGATATAATTATGAAAAATATTTATATTTATTTTTTTTTTATAATTTTTAGTTTTTATTATCATAAAAAAATGTGAATACACATGCATGTAGCGCCTGTGTTTTCACTAGTAACTATATAATTTTAATCTCATTTGTCAATATTTTTCACTGGTTTCTCATATTTGTGATAAGATGGTTTATTTGCTTCATTTTGTGTTCATGCACCTTGTTTTTTCTGCGGGGTTTATAGGTATCCAGTTTGATATTTTTCTCTTTTCCTTGGTTTTTCTACAATTAAGACTTAGGGACTCCTGCCCTGTAATTCTGTTTTCTTTTCTTCTAAATTCTTATAAATTCTCAGTTCTCTGGCTGTTAGTCAAACTTTACAAAGGTGTGACTCCATGCTTAATGCTTTCTATCCCGAGTTTTCTCATTGATGTAATGCAATTTTCAAGTTTGTTTCCTAGCTCTGTCAATTAATTAAATTGTGGTTTGTTGGTCACTTAATTGCACTACTAGATTGTATTACTTGACATTGGTTTCTATCCCGGGTTTTCTCATTGATGTAATGCCATTTTCAAGTTTATTTCCTAGCTTTGTCAATTAATGAAATTGTGGTTGGTTGGTTGCTCACTTAATTGCCATACTAGATTGTATTACTTGACATTGCTTTTTATGGTTTAACAGAGTTGCTTAATATTGATAAACGAGTGTTGCATGATAATTACTTATTCAAATTATTATTTTGCATTGTTTTTATGGTTTAACAGAAGCTTCTTCATGGTAATAAATGGGCACTTGCCCTTGAATATGCTATTGGGAGATTGCTCAATTCTTTTATAGTGACTAATCATGCGGATTGTCGTCTTTTAAAACAATGTGCGAAGGAAGCTAACTATGGTCACCTTCAAATTATTATTTATGATTTTTCAATCCCAAGGTAAATTGTTAGCTTCATATCGGTTTTGCCTGAATTGTCTTCGTTTGTGTTTTATATTTTTGGTTTTGGTCATGTTCTTTTGCTTTCTGGTGTACAGGTTGAAGATACCACAACATATGCTTCCTGATACAGAACATCCATCAATTCTTTCTGTCTTACAATGCGATAATCACACTGTGATTAATGTCTTAGTGGATCAGGTAATGGCTAATATTTGCTTCCTGAAAGTAATGTCCTATCTCAATGAATTTTTGATTGCTTATTTAAAGGAAATCACAGTTCATTTGGTTTATATTTTCCTTATTTTGTTGTTTCCCATTCTTTCCTAAATGTTGTTATGGGACCGGGTGGTTTATCTTATCCTTGTTTTAATTCTTTTCTTTTATAAACTCTTGTATCTGAAGTTATCTTTTTTCTGAGCTCTGCGTCAATCTTGTCCAAAATTAATTATTCTTGTATATTAATCGTATCCTCAGTATAAATGTTTTTTTTTTGTGGAATTCTTTCTTTTGCATGTTCGGAGTGTTGGGTTTTCCGTTTTGTTATTGGCTGGTGTTTGTTGACTTATCTTTACTATATGTGAGAGATGAAAAAGAAGCCAAATTCTTGTAGCCATAATGGCTCTCTGGTTTATTTGTGGGCAATATGCAATTCACAAATGTTTAAAAGTGATTTCTTTGGATGAGCAGTTGCTTCATAACTTTATACCTGTTGGCTTCTCCTTGTTGTAAAGGATAGTGCTTTTATTGATTTCTTTTAAAGAAGTGTTTCATATTGGGTTGCTATGATAGTTGTTCAAAGACAGAAAAAAAGATGCGTGGGATTTTAAAAACTGTGTATATGGACTCCGGTCCATTTTATATTAGTTGACTTTGTGAGAAATAGAGAAGATTGGGAGAAAATATCCCTTGTGTCTTTTGCATACACATAGGGTAGTTTATTTATAATGTAAGATATGGGCCAATGCCCTTAATATAGAATGAGCTGAGCCCAATTAACAGAAACACACATCTTAACATCTAACAGACTTCAATAAATACAAATAGTTATAAGATATTTTATTCCTATATACATGATATGGCATACCTAATCATATTCTAATACTGTTCGATCTCCCTGTGACTATAAAGATTATAATTAAATAAGGAAACAAATTATAAAATGTTAAAGAAAAATACATCATAAGATTTTATCTATAATACCCAAGTCTATATCATTTTTATTATTTTTCTTTTGGATTAAATATATTCCACTAAAGAATAATGTCCTTAATACAGTGAAAGTTTTATGACGTGGTATGAAGAAGAAAGAACTTAAACAATGATGGAATGGAGCACGGCTCCTTGCTGTATGAAAACTGAAAGATAATACTAAGTATGATAACTGTCACTGCCACTGATAGAAACAACTCCTCTCTTCACCCTGAAACCACCTTGTACCTTCTCAATTATTTTTTCTCTTCCCCTTAATATGTTTAACTTTAAGAATTTCTAATATGTTTATTGCTTCTCTAGGGAAATGTTGAGAGGCAAGTGCTAGTCAAGGATTATGAAGTTGGGAAAGTGGTTGCCTTTGAGCGAAGGATCCAAAATTTGAAGGAGGTCTACACAGCAAATGGATGTAGAATGTAAGTCACTATCAATTGACATTGCAATTCATGTGTCCTGCATGTACAACTTCTTGTGCAAATAGATACTGTTATTCACTAGCAATTCATATTTATACAACATATTTGAGTGAAATGGCCGGGTATATGTATGTCATGTTGAGTGACCCTTTCAGTGAATCTAGGATAGGCTGTATCATTTTACAAAGTAGTTTAGACATAACTCAATTTTACAAAACTAACCTGGGGTGAGGATTTATCACTTATATACTGTACTTTGTCACTATTTCTTGCCAATGTGGAACTTGTGTGTTTCCCAATGTGAACTCAGTCTTTGGCAGGAGAGTTCTTGCATCTGCCACGGTCCTCTCTTTAGTGCTTGGGGTTCCTTTTCAATCATTTTACCCTATACTCCTTTATATGAAAAAGACAAGATTATGGATATTATATAGCTGCTGTTTTTCTTGTAAAGTGTGATCAGTCAGTGTTACCTTGACAATGTCTTAGAACCTCGATGAGAAAAGTGTTTTGGGATTTGGTCCCTGTTGGAGCCATGCTCCTGTTGAAATACAATACTTATCTGTGATGATAGAGTCCTTTTTATTTCAACCAAATGCATCAGCTCGTATCCAAGTTTCAACCCTTGTTGATAATTCAGTACAGACGTTTAAGTATGTAGCAGTATGGATCAAAGCTTCAGACTGATGGAAATTTCTTATGTATGCATTCATCTTCAAGCCATGGCCCACAAGTTGGAACTGGGTTTCCTAATCAAAGTTCTTTTTAGGTTTTCTCGAGGTCCAGTGCAGACTGTTCTTCATCCAAATAAGAGGCAAAGAACTGGTCGTCTTTGTGGTTCTTTTGAAGATGAGATTGAGAAACTTCATGCTGAAGCATCTGATGAACAAAGGATTGCCAATGACCTTAAAAAAAATAAAAGAGAGGCAGAAGTCAAGCTTGAGGAACTTGACAAATATATGAGTTCTATTAAGGTAAACTTTTGTATAGATAATATTTGTTTTCAAAAACCCATTTTTTATTGCAATGTCATATTACTTGAAGGAAAGAAGGAATAACTTTTATTTATCGCCACTGGATAAGCCTCTGCTTCATGCTTAAATAAATTCCTGAGAACTAATTCCAATGGTAAGCTACAACCGTGACTGCTACCGGGCCTCAAAAAGAACATATCTTGGGAGGAGGACTTTAAATCTTCCTTATCTAAAATTTTATGTCCTCTAAAATGTGAATAATATTTAAAAAAAAAAATACTAAAATGGATAACTATGTTTTTATGCTTGAAGAAAAGAATCATCAACTTTCATTATTGCCTTTTAACACATGTAGTGATGTATGCTTCATGTGATACTTTTGCTTTCTTTCTTTGTAGAGACAATGTGTAAATGCAAGTAAAAGTTTTACTTCTAAGAAGCTAGCTTTGGAGGAAGAAATGCATCTGCACTCTGCTGAAAATAATGCAACGCCTTTGTCCTCTGTTGATGAGCTTGTTGAAGAAATTTCAGTTTGTTCTCTATCATCTATTTCATTCTTCAACTAAACATTTTTACTTGTTCTGAGCATTAGTGTTAATAAATTTTGTGAAGGCACAAACATGCAGTGAAAACTACTGTCTTTTTCCCTTTTCATACTTTTTTTTGGTTGGGTGGGGGATGAGGGAGGCAACTTTAAGGAGGTCGTGTCCTTTGCCCTACACCTCTGCTACCAGTAGGTGACAACTAGAACAGAGGGCCAGAGAGAGTTGAAACCCCAAGGCAACCTGATGTCAAGTCATTTGCTAATATAAGCTAAGAATCAAGTTTTATATTGGAAAACGACTTATAATTGAATCCATCAAATGTTGAAAAGATGAATAGTGTTGTAAATTTTATCAAAGACTCGTAAGGCTGACTGATTCAAGTTAATTAGAGACACAATAGGGTGCAGTCTATTGCTAATCTGAATTAAGGGATGTTTTGTAAATAGTTGAGTTAGTTTCATCAGTGGTTATGTTAATTATGTAGTCAGTCGGCTGTTTACTAATTTCTTATAATGTACAAAATAAAATTTAAAAATAGAGATGTTGTATATGTGATTAAAACTTACTAGAAATAAAATGTTATGTCCCTTATCCCTTGTTCTCTCTCCGTCGCTTTTTCTTTTATATTTTCTTTATGTATGCTAACATTTGTGACAAAGGAAGTATATAGTATTGAAGGGTTAGAAATAGTCATGAAGTCAAGTTATCAATTTGGTAATATGGAGACACACAAAAACCAAATAATTTGCTAATGTGATTTTTGTTACTAAATTTAAATGATTTTTTATTCTTATTAAACACTAGGAGATCCAGAAAAAAATAGAAGAAGAACAAGTTTTGCTAGATGGCCTTCAGAAAAACGGGCTTGAAGCAGCAGGAAAAGTGGATGATCTTAAATTAGAATTTGACAAACTTTGTGGTATGATATAATATGAGTTATTTGTTTTATGTCAGTGAGATCATCTGCACTTCTGTTTATTGAATTGTAGAAATGTTATGTGATGCATATTCTATTGGGTGCCATAAAATGTAGAATCAGCGAATGGTGAAATTGCTGCCCTAGAGAAAGCTGAGAGTGAACTTGTAGAAATTGAAAAAGAAATGGGTTCAGCAAATAAGGTTTTTTTTTTTTTTTTAATATGTATATGTTAGCTAATACCTGAAAATATCTTCTATCCATTTATTTTTTTTCAATTGTGTTGGCTTCTTTTTTTCTTAAAAACATTTTACAGGCAAAGGATCATTATGAGGGTGTCATGAAAAACAAGGTCCTAATTGATATTGAGGAGGCAGAGGACCACTATCAGGAGCTTACAAAGAAGCGCAAGGTGCATTTTGGTTAAGATTAGTGATGTAAATATTTTAGACCGAACTATCATTTGTGCTTATCACTTTTTCTATTAGATGTGAAAGCAAGTATGTGGTCAATGAACTGGACCACAAGTTTATAGCATGTTAAAACTAAAAGGTTTCTCTTGAGATACGTGGAGATACTATTAATTATTGATGTTCAGATATTGTAGGGATACAATGAGTTATTATTAATTATTGTATGTATTTCAATAATTTATTTCTAGGGCGATGGAGTCCTATATAATGTAACCTCTTGTGCAATCTACATTAAGAAGTGCACTACCCTACAGAACTGAAACATCCTTTTCAAACGTCTCCTAATAGAGAAAAAAAGCAAGCATCTTAGACATATATTCAGCTATTTCCAATCTGCACTAGAACTTGTTTTTTGTAATATGCTTTAGATTCTCTTTTCTGTTCAGTATCTTTAGACCCTGGATTTTATGGAATGATCTTGTTTGTCAGTCTAATTGGTGTGACATTTTTAATGCTACAATTTTTTTATACTTTATATTTTTGTCACATACACTTCCCCCTGTTTCCTTCAAATTCATTAGTACTAGTAAAAAAAACAAGATTATGTGATGAATGGAAATATCATCTTGCTTATTATTTTGAGTGCCGTGTGTGTGAAAAGATCTGCCGTTAACTTCACTAATCCTATGTGTTATGGGATTTACTCGTGTTATGAGATAACTTGGTAATGTAAATCATAAAAGATATATTAGTATCTATATCTTGCTGATACCAACCTTGGTTTAAACTGCAGGAAAGTGTTGAAAAGGCTTCCATAATATGCTCTCAGAATGAACTTGATTCATTAGGAGGTTGTGATGGCAATACCCCAGAGCAAATCAGTGCTCAATTAGGAAGACTTAATCAGACACTAATGCGCGAGAGTCAAAGGTTTCTCATTATAATATTGATTTATGTTGTCAGGTTGCTATGCTCGAGCTGGACTTCTGTTTGTATGTGTCTGTATTATGATTTTCTTTCATTTTGGTTTCACTATACAGGTACTCGGAATCAATTGATGATCTTAGGATGCTGTATAAGAAAAAAGAGCGTAAGATTGCAAAAAGGCAGCAAGTTTACAGAACCCTTCAACAGAAATTGGATGTATGTATTTTTTGGTTTTACTTATTCTATCGATAAATGCAATTTTGTCGGTATTGTTAGATATAAAGCCATCTTGTTGGTATTCACCCAAAAGATTTATCTGTTGGATTAGTTGGTCTTTTTGATATCCCACTCTTCTACTAATTCTTCTACTAAATAAATTAAGTTTTGGCACAAAAAGGATGGGCCTGACCATCTAAATAAAGTAGTTTTCAGCACAAGGATGAGCCTGGCCACCTGGCATTGTCCACATGATTGGACCCAGATTTATGAATACAACTTGGAGATAAAAACACTGAATGAGCTAAAACAGATCCCTGTTATAGGACAATTATTGGGAAGCAATGATTGAATATGAACAATGGTTGGAGCACAGCTCCTTGCAGAAATGGAAAGTAAGAAATAGAGACTATTGAATTGCCCCTCCCCCCAACACCCCATTTTCTTGAGGAAGACCCTTTTCTTCACTCTACCAGGCCATCCAAATTATTCTTCGAAGAATGATGAGATACCCATCTCTNTAATTAAATAAGGAAACAAATTATAAAATGTTAAAGAAAAATACATCATAAGATTTTATCTATAATACCCAAGTCTATATCATTTTTATTATTTTTCTTTTGGATTAAATATATTCCACTAAAGAATAATGTCCTTAATACAGTGAAAGTTTTATGACGTGGTATGAAGAAGAAAGAACTTAAACAATGATGGAATGGAGCACGGCTCCTTGCTGTATGAAAACTGAAAGATAATACTAAGTATGATAACTGTCACTGCCACTGATAGAAACAACTCCTCTCTTCACCCTGAAACCACCTTGTACCTTCTCAATTATTTTTTCTCTTCCCCTTAATATGTTTAACTTTAAGAATTTCTAATATGTTTATTGCTTCTCTAGGGAAATGTTGAGAGGCAAGTGCTAGTCAAGGATTATGAAGTTGGGAAAGTGGTTGCCTTTGAGCGAAGGATCCAAAATTTGAAGGAGGTCTACACAGCAAATGGATGTAGAATGTAAGTCACTATTAATTGACATTGCAATTCATGTGTCCTGCATGTACAACTTCTTGTGCAAATAGATACTGTTATTTACTAGCATTTCATATTTATACAACATATTTGAGTGAAATGGCCGGGTATATGTATGTCATGTTGAGTGACCCTTTCAGTGAATCTAGGATAGGCTGTATCATTTTACAAAGTAGTTTAGACATAACTCAATTTTACAAAACTAACCTGGGGTGAGGATTTATCACTTATATACTGTACTTTGTCACTATTTCTTGCCAATGTGGAACTTGTGTGTTTCCCAATGTGAACTTAGTCTTTGGCAGGAGAGTTCTTGCATCTGCCACGGTCCTCTCTTTAGTGCTTGGGGTTCCTTTTCCAATCTTTTTACCCTATACTCCTTTATATGAAAAAGACAAGATTATGGATATTATATAGCTGCTGTTTTTTTTGTAAAGTGTGATCAGTCAGTGTTACCTTGACAATGTCTTAGAATCTTGATGAGAAAAGTGTTTTGGGATTTGGTCCCTGTTGGAGCCATGCTCCTGTTGAAATACAATACTTATCTGTGATGATAGAGTCCTTTTTATTTCAACCAAATGCATCAGCTCGTATCCAAGTTTCAACCCTTGTTGATAATTCAGTACAGACGTTTAAGTATGTAGCAGTATGGATCAAAGCTTCAGACTGATGGAAATTTCTTATGTATGCATTCATCTTCAAGCCATGGCCCACAAGTTGGAACTGGGTTTCCTAATCAAAGTTCTTTTTAGGTTTTCTCGAGGTCCAGTGCAGACTGTTCTTCATCCAAATAAGAGGCAAAGAACTGGTCGTCTTTGTGGTTCTTTTGAAGATGAGATTGAGAAACTTCATGCTGAAGCATCTGATGAACAAAGGATTGCCAATGACCTTAAAAAAAATAAAAGAGAGGCAGAAGTCAAGCTTGAGGAACTTGACAAATATATGAGTTCTATTAAGGTAAACTTTTGTATAGATAATATTTGTTTTCAAAAACCCATTTTTTATTGCAATGTCATATTACTTGAAGGAAAGAAGGAATAACTTTTATTTATCGCCACTGGATAAGCCTCTGCTTCATGCTTAAATAAATTCCTGAGAACTAATTCCAATGGTAAGCTACAACCGTGACTGCTACCGGGCCTCAAAAAGAACATATCTTGGGAGGAGGACTTTAAATCTTCCTTATCTAAAATTTTATGTCCTCTAAAATGTGAATAATATTTAAAAAAAAAAATACTAAAATGGATAACTATGTTTTTATGCTTGAAGAAAAGAATCATCAACTTTCATTATTGCCTTTTAACACATGTAGTGATGTATGCTTCATGTGATACTTTTGCTTTCTTTCTTTGTAGAGACAATGTGTAAATGCAAGTAAAAGTTTTACTTCTAAGAAGCTAGCTTTGGAGGAAGAAATGCATCTGCACTCTGCTGAAAATAATGCAACGCCTTTGTCCTCTGTTGATGAGCTTGTTGAAGAAATTTCAGTTTGTTCTCTATCATCTATTTCATTCTTCAACTAAACATTTTTACTTGTTCTGAGCATTAGTGTTAATAAATTTTGTGAAGGCACAAACATGCAGTGAAAACTACTGTCTTTTTCCCTTTTCATACTTTTTTTTGGTTGGGTGGGGGATGAGGGAGGCAACTTTAAGGAGGTCGTGTCCTTTGCCCTACACCTCTGCTACCAGTAGGTGACAACTAGAACAGAGGGCCAGAGAGAGTTGAAACCCCAAGGCAACCTGATGTCAAGTCATTTGCTAATATAAGCTAAGAATCAAGTTTTATATTGGAAAACGACTTATAATTGAATCCATCAAATGTTGAAAAGATGAATAGTGTTGTAAATTTTATCAAAGACTCGTAAGGCTGACTGATTCAAGTTAATTAGAGACACAATAGGGTGCAGTCTATTGCTAATCTGAATTAAGGGATGTTTTGT